TCGTTTTTGAATTTTTATTTAGCGATTCTGTATTTAGGTAACACCATCTATATTGGAATACCAATAAATTATTGTTGTTGTTGAGGGTGCTTTCCAGTCATGCCAAAGATTCCGGAAATTTCGGTCGGAATTCAAATGGAAAGGTCCGTTTCGGGTTCTTCCGACCGGGCTATTCGGGATCACCACTTATCTCGGTCGGAATATTCCGACCGAAATTCGCCGTTTCGTTTTTGACAAACCGGTTCTTTGCCCTAATTAGGGAATTCGGAAAAGGAATAAAAATGGCAAGAGCCATTCCTATTGGTTGGCCCGGTCTAATCGGGTAAATGTCGTTCCATTCTCCTCGGGTATTCCCACTGATCTCTGACCGGTTGGTTTGGCATAATGGAAAGCACCCCTACAGCGTGTCTGTACAGCGCCGCAAATGATCCCCAGACCAGAACTAATCCCTAAATTGGACCGCAAATGATCCCGAACCGCATATGATCCCGATTGCGACACATTTGACCCCAACGTGGACAGATGATTCCACCGGAAAACGAGGAATGGCATGGAGTTTGTTTTTCATTTATATTTATTTATTTATTTATTTTATTTTCATCACCCAAACGATAAATCAGAATAAATGTAAAGAAAACACCCTGACAACGTAAACTATAATTTGAATATAATTCTCTCAAATAATTCCACCTCATTTTCTCTCGACTATTCTTTTGAAAAATCTCGACTATTCTTCTGAAAAATCGTCTTCGTTTCCGGGGCATCATTTGCGGTCCACATCGGGGACAAGAGGTTATGATCCTATTCTCCTGTCTGGGATCACTTGCAGTCCAATTTGGGGATCATTTGCGGACCTTTGCGGTGCTGTAGATGTCTGCATACATGGGCGGCGAAGGCCTGGCAATTAGAAATGGCACTGTCACTTTGAACACTGGCGTTTTTCAGGCCTATTTTACATCGCTTGCATCGATGTTTCTCGTGCGAAATAAAAAGACAACATCGCAACAAGAAATTGTTGTTTTATTTTAACCATCAGCACACTATTTTAATTTTCAGCCCTTCCTGACTCAAGTGTGGACGTGGTTATTGCCGCTCAAAGTTTCCACTGGTTTGCAAACCGCGCAGCTGTTGAGGAGATTCACCGAGTTCTTGCTCCAAGTGGATCCTTTGGAGTTATCTGGTCAATCGAAGATACTTCTGTGCCGTGGATGAAAGATCTGTACGAATTTATGGAGCACGTTTATGAGCAAAATTCCCTAGTTTTCCCTTACAAAGAGAGTTGGAAAACGCTTTTTGGCGGACTCTGCCAGCAGTTGTTTAGCGCTCCAAAAGAAAATCTAAGCTTTAGGCATCGTTTCCCGTTCTCAGTTGAACAGGCGTACGAGTATTTCTCTTCGTATTCTGTAATAGCTGGTGCCAGCGAGCAAACAAAGAAAGATTTGAAGGAGAGTCTTGATAAGGTCATGGAAAAACATTTCAAAGGAAATGGAATTCCTTTAGATCATATTTCTTTTAAAATTTATTTGTATTGGTGTACTAAGACAACTTCAAATTCACGGTGAGCTTAGTCGAGGAGCATAAGTACTATGAGCTTGGTGAGGGTTTGTTGTGAGTTTGGTGTTGGGGTTTGTGTAGGGTTCCATTTTCCAGGAAGTTAATCCCGTTTTCTATTTTCGATTACATGAGGAAATCTTCGCAGACGTGATGGTTTGCTTTTTCCCTCGTTAGCATTTGACTTTACAGTAGAGAAGACATAACGCTAGCTAGATACGAATTGACCGAGTCCAAACATTGGAAGCGCTTGTAAAACCTAGTAACTAGTAAATTGTGTACTACTAACTCTTTGGATGTAGTATTGAAGGGGATTTTAAAACAACTTGTACCGTAAACTGTTTTCAGGCTAGTTCATGTTATTATGTTGCTGTAATAAAAGTTGAATAAAAAGTAACCTGTCATCAAGCCGAGGTTTTCGCCCTCGTATATGTCGCACGAAAAAAAAAAAAAAAAACACTGGACCTGGTATAATCCATTCCAGGGGCCCGTTTCTCGAAGGTCCCGAAAAGTTTTACACCCGGAAAAGTCGTAAGAAAATCTCCAACCTTATGAATACAGAACTGTTTTATTTACATAGTCTTAATATCAACAGATACACCTCTCGGGTTTTAGGTACAAATTATCTAAAAATGGCTTTGCGGGCCCGACAGGTTTCCGGGGCTTTCGAGAAACGGGTCCCAATTCAAGCCGGTCAACCGGAGATGCAATATCATTTTCTACGGGCCCCCTCCCTAAGATTTCTGCCGCTTGATTTTTTACGCCAACTAATTAGAACCCTTGCCTGTTGCGCCGAAACACAGCAAGTCAGTCTGTCACTAAAGATGGGCCGATACCGATACCAAATATTCGATACCGGCGATACCAAGGCCGGATCGAAAAAAATCGTTACCATCGAGAAGTAACGATGCTTTTGATACTGCACGTGACCTGTCCACTCTTTGTCTCCTGAGCCTGCGTTATTCTGGTCATAACCGTTGTGTTATTGAGCAGGACAATGTTCTCGTTAATAAACTGAAATCTTTGACTTGTTTATCTGTGTTGTTGATTCAACAAGAAAGTACAGTATCAGTAAAGCTTATTCAACGCAACAAATACTAGTCTGCGTAGCAGTCTTTTCCGTTTCCTTTCAGGCAAGCGGGAGTCGCGCGAGGGCACGGGAACAGAGGTAACAAAAATATTAGTGGCAGGGGGGAGGGGCAGGGAAGGGGCATGCGATCGCCTGGGAATATGATCGCTCCTTTGGCGACCAAGAATTTTATGACTCGATTGGGCTTTCCTGAAGCCCGAGTAATGAGTGAACAAATAACATTAGGGACTTGTCAGAAATTAGCAGGGGGAGGGAGGGTGGTGGAGATTTTCAGCTAAGTGATGGAAAAAAGATGATGAAAGGGATGAAAAATGTCCCGAACCTCCCCTGGAACTCGTCCTAAAAGTCCATGACCCTTCTCTAGATAAATAAAACTTCCGAATTTTATGACGATGACGATGATGATGGCAATGGTGACAATAATGTTGAGGATGATCGTGACGGCAGCACTGCTGATGTTGATGCTGTCAGAGAGAACAGTTTTTCTGAGGGATATCTAACAATTGATGTGCAAAAGCAAAACCTGAGCTGTTTTATAAGGTGGGTTGTTGCATTTACACTTTCAATATCTTGTCTTTTTAATATGTCAGGAAATAATTACATGCCTTGATTTTCATACCTATTTTGTTATATTTTAAAACGTAATATTCAAGCATCCCTTTACGATCATGATGGCTTAATTTCTTGCGACCCTCCCTCTTTTCCTGTCATTTTTTTCATAACCCTCCCTTTTGAAGGAGTCAAAAAACTGTGACCCTCCCCTGTTTTCCACCCCCCTCCCCTCCTGCTAATTTTTGATTAGTCCCTTAGCTTCGGTCGATGTTTTCTCCTTGATGCCGTTTCGCCTATGGCCTACCACACTTAATAAGCGAAATTGTTAAAATCGTTTCCATTGAAAACGCCTAAATTTGAAAACGCTGTCCAGGGTCTACTCATTCCCAGGCGTCCCTCCTTTGTTCGAGCGCGCGTGGAGTTATGGACCTGTTGCGCTCAAAGTGCTGGATGCGCGACCTAACCATCAAGCACCACATTACCAGTCGCCGACGCAACGGTACCTGACGAGGTAGACCCAGAGTGGAGACGTGAAAACGGAGCCCTACCGTATAAGAGTGTACGGGGTAATAAGGACACAGTTGACAAAAACTTTGACTCGCAGTAGCAGTGTGGGTGAGAGGACGAGCGGGCGAGTCTTTGTTTCCCTTAAGTTTATAGAGAAATAAATTTCTGTTGCGAATGCCAAGACTCAACAGGCCGTTCTTCGCAAACTTCACAAGTTTATTTTAAAATCACAAGGTTCGCTTTCCTCTCTCGCTCTGACTGTGTACTTGCACTAAAAAGACTCAACACACGGCACTCCTTAAAACTTAGCGAGACCTAATTTGATTGGCTTACAACCTTTTCTAAACAGTTTCTTTGATCACGGAATATTACCTGACACGCAAGCTTACAGGTTTCGTTGATAAGATGAAAGGCGTTTACAATCTGGTGCTAATTAACTGGTAATCATCGACTGAACTAATTGAAACTGTCAGGCACGTGCTTCCGATTTCTATTATTTCATGACATTTCTAAAATACTGAAAGCTTCGGTGTCTTTAGACAGGTGACGTGATTTAGCTACATATCCAGCGTGACAACTTAGAACCTAGAGTCTTCGCTCACCTTGGCCAGCAGTATTGAAGCGAGAAATCCTAGAAAGTTCTTAATATTAGAATTCCTGAATTGCTGGTTTTCAGTGTTACGCAATTCAAAATAGATCAAAATAAATATCAAAACCGGTCAATGGATAAAGTCCAGAATCTGGGAAATGAAAGAAGGTAAATATGCAAAGACTCTCGCCAAAATTCTGGTCACAGCA